GATAATAATAAAAATGTAATTATAAAATATATCAATAATATTAATTGATTTATTTTTCAGAATAGTGCTTTGATGCCAGTTTTATATACTTAATAATCTATTAATTTTTGTATTTGAATAGTCTTCAAAAATTTTTTCTATATATTTGTTTCATAATTTTTATTTTTACTTATTTTATTATTATCGAATCCTCTTATAAATATACATGTATCAGTTTGAATTTTTAAATTTAATACATGCGAAAACAAAAATATATTAGGGTGAGCTTTGTTGAATTGATCATTAAGTTGTAGTTTGTTAGGAAGAAATTGAAGTCTGCCCACATTTTTTGATTACATTTTGATGTTTCATCAATATAATTATAATTACTTTTATTTCTAATGATATCAATGTACCTACGTGTAACAAAATATGTCACCCAGATGATATACGCCCAGATTTAGATATTTAATGAAATATCACGGATAATGTTTAACCTAAAGGAAAATAAAATAACACATAAATTGAAAAAAAAACTTTTTCTACTCTTACTGCTTATAGCCTATCCCAATACTCACAACCATGCATTATTTAAAATTAAAATATTTTGTGATTTATAATATAATATAATACTATGTAACAATAATATTAAATCATATCAAAATTAAATTGTCTACCACCGCGAGAATTTCTCCGAGTAGGTATACCTGCAATAATAATAATAATGTCATTTTTAATCACGTTGATTTGTACGAAAAAAATATTTATCGAAAGCTCATCTACGGATAAAAWTGAACTATATGTGACTAACATATTTCATAATGCATTTTGTGTACACAATTACTACGGTCGTACTGTATATAGATTTGCGTTGCCTTGTACCGTTCAAGCCGACGCGACGTGATTTGTTTCTGCGGAAGACTTACCAATGCAGAACAGCGGCAGTGCTGTCAGAGCAACCTCTTCGTTGTCCTCGTACTCGTCATTTTCCGGTGTCCCGTTGTTTGTTGAATTTGATATTGAATTGGTATCCTAAAAGCAAAGGAAACATAAAACATCATCAGTGCCAATTCGTTTTAACGCACAATAAGTACATTCACCGCCGTCGGGAACCTAATGCCGATGATGGTTATATATTTTATCGAAATAAACGCACAGGCAGTTTCTTATTTTCGTAGGTAAGCCATAGGATCGTGTGGTGCGTATAACAGCCGTACTGAAGAAAATTCGTTAAATTGGATATACTATTGATTACAGAAGGGGAGAGGGTGGAGGGGCAAAAAATTAAACACTAAACATTCTCAAATTATTGTAGTCTTTTAATAATGAATTTATTTTAAGATTTTGATTTTTGGAATTTTGAAGAATACATAAGCAACGTATTTTTAAATATAAGCATGCAAGCGTCACTGCAGATACCCTTAAAATGGTGGAAAAAATCTCTGGTTGAATAGTAGAAGCCGAAAGACGAAAAAGAAGTATATAAAGAAGTAATATCAATTAATTAATTTTCAACATTGTTTGAGTTGATAATATTATTATATACTATATAGACTAAATATAGTATTATGTCATTTATATAAATCCATCATTAAGAACTAGAAGTATCTTTAGCACATAAGGTTTTCTAACTTAGAATTACTCGTTGATTTTCGATTGAAATGTACTAGGGGTACATTTAACCCCGTATGATCTTATATGCAGTATTCGTTTACCTTCTGCGTCAGTGTATAGTAATAATGTTAGTCGCTATTAAATGTTTACATTGTAATGTAATGTTCTAAATCACACACTTTCAGCCCAGTTGGAATTTGTTCTGGCAAAAAGTTTTTTTTTTCGTTTACCGCAGTTGAACGAGACCGATGGGACTAAACTTGTTAAATATTATGATATAACGATGAGGGTGGTATGTACGCGTGACATGTTGCCTCGCTTGTGACGGAGGTGTTACGGTGGTTTTGAGCTTTAAAAAAATATTATACATACCTACTTGTATACCATATATATTATTATTATGCCATATTATATATACCATTTTGGTATATATAATAAAAAAAGTATTTTTTTTTTTTAGGTCTAAACACGCGTTTATTATTTCCCCGTCGTCCGTTATGAATTTTAGCACCACGGATATAAACACGATATAATATATATAATGCATCACTTGCGTTTATTTTGTGAGAGATATTTTTATTTTTATTATTATTATTTTCACATGTCTAGGTAAATAACACTAAAACGAGCCTGCGGATGCGGAATGATGATGAACCATTCCCGTCTCCGTTTTTGATGGGGAAAATGTATTAACTAAACGCGTAGCTCACGCCTCATTATTTTCTAAACATAATATCTATAACACCTACACCTTTATCACGAACTACAATTACCGATCGAAACAAGTGGCGTGTGTATCGCACTGTAAATCTTTATTACTTGCGGTGTTTTTCTATCAATGAAGGGTATGGGTATAATATAATATGTTCATAAATATAGTGAGTGGGTGTGTGTGTGTGTGAGAGAGAGAGAGAAAAGTGATTATATTTACACATGGGGAACGACTCAACGTTTTTGGGTAAAAAAAACTTTCATGACAATATATTATACACAGACACATATATATATAAACTATATGCACATATCGTGTATTTACTGGGTATAGACTAATCTGCAGATGGCCAGCAAAAAAAAAAATTGGAGAGTTTTCGGTACAAAAAAATAATTCACCAATCGGTCGCTGTGCGGCATGACATGTTCGCGTATATACCTACTATATACTGGTGGTACGACGTGACATTTTGTTCTGAACCAATTGGTACACATTACAMACGACATATACCTTTTTAAATAAACACGATAACTCGTACTGCGCTTTTTATTTTTATGTGTATTTTTCAGTCACACGATCGACCGTGTTTTTGTTTCCGCTTATAAAATGTCCAAATCGAATTATAGGGTTTTATAGGGTATAATAATAGAAATTAGATTTCGTCAACTATAAGTAATGCAATTAAGCCTGCGCTTCAATAATTTTAAAATTCACAATTATTAGCTGAAWTTTATTCCGCAGTAGCCTCAGTCATTTCCGATGCSATTAAAGTATGTAATCAGTTTATATCAAGCGGTTTATTATTATAATTAATTTGAGCCGAATTTTTCTRGACTTTATAATATTGTTACTATAGGAGAAACGATATAAATCACAATGTAGGTAGGTACCTATATACTATATTGTTTGGAACTTTTAGTTTGACTTTTTAAACTATACCATAATAATATGTTGTATATCCTCCACATATTATATTATGTATATGTACTTGTTTAAGAACAATATATATGTTCAATATAGTAATATAAAATATACCTATCAAAATGATGATCAGAGTGCAATTAAATCACTTGTTATCCGACCGCGTACAACCCTCAAAGCTGTCGTATTAGTTTATGGTTCATGTCGTTATATACTTAAGTAGGTATTATACTTAAAATAAGACTAAATTATTAGAAATAGCTCAAGATCCAGGTGTTTTTATCGTTGTACGCATGTGGTATATAAAGTATCAATTACACAGCAGGTATCTTATATACTTAACGAATTGTTCCGAACTATGGTTATTGGTTATACACATTAAAGTATTTAAAGTAAATAACGGGTGAATCGCCCCTTCCTATTAGAAGTCGGTCCTTGGCTTAAGTWCATTTATATCAATTCGAATAAGTTAGAAAAGTCAAGTTGTTAATGTGAAACATCGACGCATACCCTCTACAACTCCGTTTTGATGGTTGTATTAGTAATTATTGTAATATCACCACCTCTTCCTCCATTTTCCAGATAACCTTTCTCTAATCTTAATACTACAGATTCTTCATATTTAATATAATAAATGCACCTTTTTTGACCCATGGCAGAAAAAAAAATTGTGTTTATGATCGGTTAGCATATCTACAAACWGTAGAATGTCATCTATATAATTATAATTATAGTTCACTTATCGTTTTCACAAAGTTATCGAGAAGTTTTTTAATAGTTCTAGAAGTTCTCACGAGTATAGCACTTAATGCGGTATGTAATATTTCGACAATGCATAATAATGTTAAGGAACTAAACTTAGTGTGTTCTCATAATATAAGCGTTCATTCGTGAATTTACAGAGTACTTGTTTAACAGTGAAATCAGAATCTTAGCACACGCCGTTGCACATCAACAATTTTGGCGCTTATTACATTGTAGTATAATGTCGCCAACGAATACAATCAGTTTTGTCATCGTGTAGGATGAACTGCTTAGTCTTTGACAGTTATAATAAAGTACAATGAGATATTATGATACTTTATTATGAATGGATTTTAATGAATTATGGATGAGTTTTCAAGTAGGTTTCAAGTTTTTTGTTATTTGATATGCATTTTTTTTTGTTTTTTTATTAGTACATACAATTAATAAATTAATAATTACTTACACAATTGTATACATACTTACAAATATACATACTTAATATTATTTAAATTATTAACGTCAACTAGAAGTTTTATAAGGAAATAACATCATTAGATTATAAGTTATAACTCATAATAGTTAAATATGACATAAGCTAGATTTATAGATAATAAAATAGCTGATAAAGTGCGATTATAATATTTTTATACAACTGAACTATAATTAGCAATTTACAAATGGCGTTAGTATTAGTACAAAATCGAATTTAATCTTAAGTTAAGACAGATGTGAAGGATTATTATTAATAATAGATCATAGTAAATGATGATGATGATGATAATAATCATCTGAACTATAATTAACAATTTACAAATGGCAAAATCGAATTAAATCTTAAGTTAAGACAGATGTGAAGGATTATTATTAATAATAGATCATAGTAAATGATGATGATGATGATAATGACCGTATGATGGACTATGGAGAAGAGAACGGTTTCTATCATTGTATAAAWGGTAGGGGCATTTAATGTTGACAAAATATCAGGTAATTCTTACAAGGTATAGACAAGGTTAAGACTGAGAAAGTTTTGCATTAGCCACGTACTCTCAATAGTCAATACTATATTCAACAACATATTGAAATAGTTTTGAAAGATATAAAAATATTAAGAGCATAAGCGTGTTTGTGGACTTAAGAGTTGCGAAGGTTTMCCACAAAAGGTATTAAAAAGAAAAATCTACTACATAAGATATTACCAATGATAGTTTTACGTTTGCAAATATAATAAAAATTATTTTAAGTAATACAAGTTACTACCTACATTTCTACGTTTTATACTTTCAGGAGCCACACAGTAGATGGTGATATCAACGGATCTCCGATCCTTTTTAACATCTATATCAAGTCAATATTGAAATTACGTAAAATAAAAACAGGCCCTACGTAATACATGGTAGGTAATATACATTTTTAATCCAAACCTTAGTTAATAAAAATGTTCATAAATTCTAGTAGGTAATACTTTTATAAGAATTATAGTGGTTACTAGTTAAATGGAGTAATATTTTTTTTTTACAAAATGTTTTAGATATAGGTTTTAAGTTTTGTGAATTGATTGTATTTAATTACAACATGACGTATAAAATTTAAATAAGTCGTAGCCTACTTATTTTTTCAAGCTTGTAGACTAAAATTAATGCAAAGSCCACCAATAAGGCCAATTGTCATAAAAAATTTGAAGTAAATTAATAAATCAACCACCAAAATGTTTATAAAAAAATTATCTACTTGAAATTGTAAAAAAAGATGAGTTGGATGGTATTACAGTATAGCAAAAAAAGTCAAGTTCATGCATAGTGTAAATCATAAAATATGTTAATATGTTCAAATATTTTTGTTTGTAGATTTTTTCCATCACCACAACACATAATGAAAAAGAAAAAGATAATTGTTTATGTACTATACGCAAATATTGTGTTTGCCATTTTATATTGTCAATCACTATGATAATATCATGTATATATATAATAGTGTGGAACTGTGGACTGCCCTCGTTGGTTTGTAATGATGTT